AAAATTTATGGTATTTTAAATATGATTAAATCACCAATAAATTTAAAACTTTAAAAAAAATAGATATAAATTTAACTTAAAACTTCGAAAGATCTTAATATATCTAATGCGAATACATTTGACTATTTTTCTTTCTGGCAGTGTAAATATGGTCACCCCTCCAAGTATCTGCATCTCTACCTGGTGTGTAGGTTAGTTGAAAGTTGAAACCATTAATTAATTTTGGCAGCTCATGAATTTCTTGTCGTTGTGGCTTTACATTTCCTATGTAATGTGCTATGAAGTCTTTATTCAGTGTTTTTATGCTCAGTATTTGAAATTTTGGACTTTTGGGAGTCATTTAAAAGTGGACCTTTTAATTTTTTTATTTTCATTTAGAAACTGGAAAATTGGAAATGGAAAAAAGAAGGAAAAAAAAAAGGATAAAAGTGAAATGCGGCTGCCTGGCTGGATCGGGCCACCCCTGTCTATTGGGCCTTATCGTCTGGCCCATAAAGTCGGGTCACTGTCGCCCGGCCCAAATATCTGGTCAACCCGGAATGACCAAACGAATACGGATTTCAGAGATAGTGCATTGCAGTTATCAAACTCAAGGCTCAATAGAGTCAATGGCGTTGAGTAAGATTGTTGAGTTTGAGTGTGAAAGATAGAGAGAGAAGAGAAGCAGAGATGGAGTGGTGCGAGTCGATGCCAAAAGTGGAACTTCATGCTCATCTCAACGGTTCCATCAGAGATTCTACTCTACTGTAACCTCTTTTTACCTATTACATCCATTTTTTCTCCTCACTGTACTCTTGACTGAATTTCTCCTGGTTTCGATTTTCTGTGTGGTTCTTCAAGAACTATTTTCTCTTATTTGCTTTTGTTTTTCTTCCAGGGAGCTCGCCAGAGACTTGGGTCAGAAGGGTGTCTTGGTTTTCTCTGATTTCGAGCATGTCATCCTCAAAAGTAAGCCAGTTCTCGTTTCCTTCTTGGTTTAAGCTTTGAGCTGTGTTTTGGTTGTTTTGGGAATGTAGATGAAAAGAAGTTCAATTAGCTTACTAATCTGAGGCTTTGTAAATTGTTTTATGTAATGTTAGCAAGCTCCAAATATGGCCAGTTGTTCCAAAAACTACCCTGTTGTTGGGATGCTGACATTTAATTCGAGTATTACAATATAATTATGTCGGGTTTCTTTGTTGCTTATGATATGGCATATTCCAATATCTAGAATCTTTGCCTGAGGCTCGGAGTTGTTATGTGTTTCTTAATTCAGATGATCGTTCTCTTGTTGAGGTTTTCAAGCTGTTTGACCTGATCCACATGGTCACCACTGATCATAGAACTATTACAAGAATCACTAAAGAAGTATGGAAAAATCTATTTGCTTTTTCTATCATTATGTGTTAATGTTCATTGTTTTACTATCTCCCTCTAATTCTTCTTTTAAACAGGTCGTTGAGGATTTTGCTTCCGAGAATGTGGTCTACATTGAGTTAAGAACAACTCCGAAGGTATTATATCTGTTGCATTTAAGCTTTTAATTTCTCTTTCTCTAGGGGTCACATTTCGTTATAAAGGTCATATATCAACCTTCTTGGTGGAAAAATGATGAAGTTCACTTTCAACAGAAAAATGAGTCAATTGGAATGAGTAAACGATCATACATCGAAGCAGTCGTGGAAGGTCTGAAAACTATCAATAATGTTGATGTAGATTTCTTGCCTCATGATGTCAATGCCCAAAGTTCTTTAAATTCTCTGCCTATGGACAACACTCATAATTTAACTCCAAGAAAAAAGATATATGTTAGACTTCTTCTGAGCATTGACCGACGAGAGACCACCGAAGATGCCATGGAAACGGTATGTTAGGGAAGTAAACTTAACCCCAAGCTTGCTGCACCTTTGGCAATGTATGACATGTTCACATTTTCTTGCGCCACTTATTAGGTGAAACTTGCACTGGAATTGAAAGATGTGGGAGTAGTTGGTATTGATCTTTCAGGAAATCCAGTTGTGGGTGAATGGTATATTTTCTTCCAAAAGTCTTTCCAATATGCGAGCTTTTTATATAAGTTGTAATTGAATGTAAGAATTTAAACTTGATTCAGGACCACCTTTTTTCCTGCCCTGCAATTTGCAAAAGAAAATGGCCTTGCCATAACACTTCATTGTGGCGAGGTACACTAATTTTTCCTATACTCATGGTAGCAAGGACTAATAATACCCTCACTAGTTTAATCTTTATTCCTGGAAGCTAGTGCTTGTAGGTACGTAATCCGGAGGAGATACAAGCTATGCTGGACTTTTTGCCTCAGAGGATTGGTCATGCTTGTTTCTTTGAAGGGGAAGATTGGGAGAAGTTGAAATGTCTGAAGATTCCGGTTAGAGATCTATTATTTCAGCAACGGTTTTTCTACTTGATCTAATGTTCTTCCATTGTTGAGCCTCGAGAAACACACATTTAAAACGCACAACTGCAAAAACCATTCCATATTTGCAAAGTGAACTTTTTAAAATGAAAAAACTTTCTAGTAAAGAAAACTAATGAGATAGTTAATACCTTTTATCTCCTACTTATATTTAGTGCAGGAATCTATTTACTCACATATAAAGCTTTTGAATTGCTGCATGACTTTATAATGTGATTTTCTTCCCTTTTTCAGGTTGAAATTTGTTTCACATCCAACATACGGACCAACTCGATCTCTTCACTAGATGTTCATCACTTTGGTCAGTTCTAATTCTCATATGTTCTAAAAGGTTCCATCAAGAAATTTGAAGTAATCTTTTTGGGTAATTTGATGCATTTAAAGTAGAACCTTAAAGCAATCTTATTTATGATTGTAGCATATATACTTATTTTCTGTGACCAAAAGTTAGAATCACCCTTGTAACAACCTGTAATTGGCAATGCAGATGACTTGTATAAAGTAAACCATCCTTTAGTAATCTGCACCGACGATTCTGGGGTTTTCTCTACCAGTGTTTCAAAAGAATACAGTTTGGCAGCATCTGCATTTGGTAACTCAAAACTCTATTCTCGTTGCTGTATGTAGTGGACATCAGCTTGAAAGCTAATGGTCAGAGAACCTTGTTTTCCCATACCAGGTCTTGGAAAAAGGGAAATATTTCAGTTGGCAAGAGATGCTGTTGATTTCATATTTGCAGACGATGAAATAAAGAGGCTTTTGAAAGAGGTGTTTGATTCTTTCAGATCGAATCTGGCTCTTTGATCATACGATTTATCACGGTATTTAACTCATTGCTACATTTCCAGAGTTCAAGGGTCAGTTTAGACTACTGCTTTTGATCAACTACCGAAACTCTTTCTGTTTCTGCAGGTCTTTGTATCGTATCCCTTGGTAGCTTTCTAGTCCTTGGAGGACGTATTACATACATATTTGATATTCCTGAAGTAATATGGGTTTGGAGAGTGGGTCAGAAAGTATAAACTTCGTATCCAGCATTGTTGGATGATAAATGGAAATCTGATCAATTTACAAGGCTTCTACTTATTTGGTCTTGTCTGTTCTCTGAACCTGTTATGTTTTCTCTTCTAGTGACACTTTTTGTTAATTTAGATTCAGATATACGTTGGTTGGTTCACTTGCTACTTCTTCGGCCACTTTTCTCTTTCCCCTTCTAAAGCCAAATCCAAATTGAAGCTTAGAGTAAGGGAAGAAAAAGAAAAAGAAAAGCTTTGATTTTTGGTTGTTATATAACTTAAAAACTCAGTTTACAGTACGCTGTTTGCTGTAGCTCAAGAAAGAGGGTTAGGAGTACAGGCAGGTCGATTCACTTTGCTTTTAGTCAAAATCAGCTTTGAGCTGAACTATTGACAAAACCACACTGATGGAATCAACTATCAAATCAACTGAAATCAAATTGAATTGTTCAGATAGATACAACCTGTCAAAATTAAACTGATTGACTAACTTTTTTGCTTTATATTTTATCAAATCAAACTGATTAATCTTTGGTACATACAGTATAAGGTATTCCATGAAAAACATAAAATTTTACTGTGGCTGCATTGAAAATAGGACTCCAATTGCTCTGGCAACCGGGTTGGTAAGGACTTGAGTCTCTTGCGCTCATACTAACCTAGAGATCTCAAATACGAACTTCTCGATGAATTTAATACTAAAAATCTTTGATGTCTCTCGAGTTGCTTAGAGTGGATACGGGTGTCCTGGAGTATAGGGGAGTAAAGTTTCGACTCCAGGTATTAAAAAAAATAGGACTGCAGTCCCTACTTGTAAGAAGCTTGAGAAATCTTAAGCCATGATCAGTTCAAATCTCTTCAATCTTATACACAAGAACAACCTCAGAGGAAGAATGAGAATTCTTGATCAGCATACGTATCCTCCTTAAATAAAAAAAATATGAATATCTAGTGGGGATTCGCATGAGTTCTCTACGGATACTCAAATCATTTCAGATAGCAAAACCAAAATAAGAGTGGGCAGGCCCCAATTCTGAGCATGCCTGTGCTAATGATAATGCCAAGTCTCCCCTTGAGGAGAGAACTACGTGGCCAAACAAGTCAAATGAGTTTCTTAGGAAAAGACATCATCATTGAAAAACATGCTTCCAGAGCAAAATAACAAGTAGAATATGATGTCCCCAAAATCCACCAATCACGCAGTAACTCCACATTTGTCAACTTTATCTAAAGTAATTCCATGGAGATGGCCTAGACTTAAAGCAACCCCAAAAAGTCCTCGAGAAAAGGGTCTCCCAAGGCCGCCTCCACTTCCATTTTTGGGTAAAAATGTATAAAGGAATCAGCACAAGCAGAAGCTTCTCGGAGAAAATGGGCAGCGTTGCTCCACTAGCCATTGGCACGCGAGGCACTGTGGGGTCGCTGGTGATGAAGGAGATCGAGTACTTCACCAAGCTTGAACTCGAACGCCATGGCGGCTCCCAGAGGATAACTGCTGAAGCTTCGAGAAGAGGAGATTCAAAGCCAAGCTTCTGGCTTCTGTCGTCCACTTGGAAGTGGAAGAAGAGAAGATCAGGCAGCACCAATGGGATTCTCCCTAACATTTGCTCTGCTGTTGAATTGTCAAAAAGCAATCGCTTTAATGGGATTCCTGGTTTTGGTTACAGGATTCTCAAAGAAGATGTCAATTACTTTACCATTTGATTCCATTCAATTCAAAAGGGTCCTTTAATTTGTTTGCTTTCTGTTGAATTGCTTTCCCCTTCATGTGTTTGTGTTTCTTTTCAAGGCTTCCAATGTTCTGACTGGAAACAAAATAACAGTTCCTTTACTGATTTGATTGAGATTTGGAAACAGGCACTGTTCAATAGAATATTGCATTTGAAACTATCTGCAATCTTTCTTTTCTTAATTCTGACATTCGCAAAGAGAGTGAGAGAGACGGCAGCCATTTGCGTCCATCATGAAGGTAGCTTAAACTTACTAATTTTAATTACTCAAATAAATTGAATGTAACCCACTTAAGTAGAGCTAAATAAATAAGGTTTGAATTTCTCATCCCTACTTTTATTGAACTCAAGAAAAGAATATGTATATGTAATTATCGATCTTAAGAGTGTATTTTAATGGGAAAGTTTTTAAATGGAAAAAAATATAGCCGCATACTGATTTGGATTCAAACAAAGAGAAGAAAAAAGTTGATTGTGTAATATTTTAGAAACCGTTCAATATAATCTTCTCTTTTGTTAGTTTGATGAGATGAACATTGTTTGTTTGAGAATAGATAGGAAGGAGGTATTAGATTGTTTTGTGTTTGTTGATTTTATGATTTTCTCCATAGAAATTTGAGGTTATTATTTGATATAATTAAAATGAATCATAATAAAGTAGGTCACGGGAAACCATGTCAAAAGCTCAAATGTTGAAGAAATGAATAATAATGCACCGAATAAAGTTTGGTAAAATAATTGAATTTATTATGGTTTACTATGTCATCAATTGTCACAAGGTTACATCATACATGATTGATACAAACAAATGAATAGAAAAATAAAAATTTAAAAACAATTAGTTGAACATATTTTTATGGATTTTATTTTCTATATTTTTAAAATCAAATGCCAACTAGCTTTTTTTTTTCCATGGTCCTTTTAGGTTTTAAATTTAGTTTTCATACGCTAACATGAGCATAGCTCAATATAATTGACATGTATTTCTTTCATCGGAAATTCGATCTTCATATCTCCAAATTATTTTACTAAAAATAGAAAAAGGGTTTTCATGTCATCCCTATATTTTAAAATGCTACCTTAACTTTAAACCAATGAATTTTAAGTTTAGTGTCCCTTAGATCTTTACACCATCCTCACTATCTCTTCTTCCCGACCATCCCCACCCCCACCCTATCTTCCCCCGTTGGCTGCTTCCCACTAGGACCTGTTAGCATATTTTTTTAGTATAATATGTGGGGTGAGGATCAAATTCACAACTTCTTGGTTGGAGGTATATGCCAATTACTATTTAGTTATACTCGTACCTGTTGACGTTTAGTTAGCCTTTTGTTAAAGTTAGTGATAATTCTATTATGTTAGGTATCAAAAGTGAACTTTAGCATAAATTCACAAAAATAAAAATGTAAAATTTTAAAACACTAAATGTTAATGAAACTTAAAATTCAGAAAATGTAATATTTTTTTGAGACACCAAAAAAATGTAATATTTTAAAACTTAAATATTAGATTGAAATTAAACATAAAACTCAAATGTAAAAATGTGACATTTCGAAATCTAGGAAAAATACACTCAAAATTTAAGAACTAAAAATATATTTTTCCTTAATATTTTAGGGACCTTTCTGTATTAAATACCATCTTATCAATAATAACTGCAATCTAATTTCTAAAGAAATCATATGGTGCAATAAATTTGTTTTAAAAAAGCAATAAACTCCTTTGCGAAAAAAAAAACGCAATAAATTCATCCAAGAGTATAAAATAAAATTTAATCCAATAAACTTTAGTAAAGTCTAGATTAAAAATAAACAAAAAAAAATCTTATTAAGGACAATGGAATATGGATACCGATCCAAAAGACTTTGACGTAAAGATAAGTCCATGATCAGCCACGATCTTGATTTTTATAGTGGGCCGGCTCGGCTAGGCGGAGTTTGTTGTTTAAGGTTTGTTGAGTTTGGGCGGGTCAGGATCAGGCCCAATCTAGACTCAAAAAATAATTTAGATATTTTGGGCTATTTGGACTTGATTTTATCCTGGGCCGAATTTTTGTTGGGCCGGACGGATCTAGTAATGAGATCCATTGAGTTTTGTGATTCTCCGGCTTCACTGGCCCATGGGCTTGTCAGAAAATCTTGGTCATTGTCTTGGTCCACGTCCGAAGCAAATCCACGTGTCCGCCGTTGTCTTCTTCCCCAACGTGTGAAACCTAATTGCAAATTTGCAGATTCCGTCGTCTGACTCCTCCACCGAGTGATCTCCAACATTGGAAAGGCCGTAAACAGAAAGAAAATGCTGTAGCAATGGCGGTCTTTAGGTCTCTGAAAGCTCTAATCAAGAATAATGCCAGTAGGTCCAAAACCTTCCTTACGACCACCACATGTACAATCTCAGCTCCGTGCTCTCCTCTTCCTCATTTTTCCTCGCCGCCTCTATATCCCTTCGGATGCCACTCAACCAGGCTTCTTTCTCCCCTCTCTAAATTGATCATTCCCTTCCATGGTCCTCTCTTCTTATCGTGCCCGCCCTGGAAGCTTTCGCAATCCGCCACTCCTCTTTATGTACAAGGAAATAGAATTATTTTGCGCAAAGTTGAAGCTCTGAATTCTGGATTAAATTTGCTCCGTAAAACCAAGCTGCCTCTCAGAATACGATTTGGGTCGGTATCACCCGCGCCAAATTTGTTGGATCGGTTGAATTCAGACACAAGAACTGATAATTCGGTACACGGCTTCGTAAACTTGCCCAATTTAATTTCAGTGAGCCGGTTAATTTCCGGTCCCTTTCTTGCATGGTAATGTTTCAAGTTCTCCACCCATGACCTAATTAAAGTTTAAATCTATTCCTTGTCTCCTGTTTGACTCATCTGTTCGTTATTTTCTTGATTAGCATTTCTATTGTAGGTTCATAATGTTTATGATCAATAGGTTTTGCATCTTCTGGATACTGATACAGGATGATATCGAACGGCTTGTACTCTTCGGCGATGGTGGGGTTAGCTATATCAGGAGCAACCGACTGGGTACTCAGATTATGCTGCCATTCTTGAATCAATCAGAATAGTATTCAGAAAATGAACTCGGTCGATATAATTATAATAACCTTTTGTCCCCTCTTTCGTAGCTGGATGGATATACAGCCAGGAAAATGGGAATAAACTCCGTTGTGGGTTCTTACCTGGATCCCTTAGCTGACAAGGTWAATTTTCCATTTCCTCTTCCAACAATTTCATGTCTAGTTTGAATCGGGTTGGTGGAGTTAACTCTGGTTCTGGTCCGGGGTTCAGGTTCTTATTGGATGTGTTGCTTTGGCAATGGTACAGAATGATCTTCTCCATCGTAAGTATTCCATTCCCTCTAATCTAATACTTGCTGGTTCATGTTAGATTGTAGATACAACTTTCCATTGTTGGAGACGGTCATTGTTTATGGAATTTAAATTTTCGTCTTGAATTTCCTTCCTAGACAAGCCATTGATGCTGCCAGGCAAGTTATTATGTTTCAATGTGATCAGGCAGACTATTTGTTGAAGATCGAACACGTTTTCAAATTTTGTCAACACATTTATGAGTATAAAATTTGATTTTGTTTTCTGTGGTAGCTGGACTTGTTGCCCTTGTTGTTGGGAGAGATGTCTTACTTGTTAGTGGTGCTGTATATCATAGAGCGAATAGCTTGGGTTGGAAGGTGTGCAAACTGCTATCTTCTTGATGGGATGCTCTGTTTTTCTTTGAATGTGCTTCATCTTTAATATAGTTAGCTTAACAATCTTTCAGTGGAGAAGTTGGCACGACTTTTTCAATCTCGATGGTACCTCTCCTCAAAAGGTCGAGCCTCTCTTTATTAGCAAGGTAACTATAGTTTCCGATCGCACATTTACATTACAACATGAGTTCCAAAAATAGATAAAATATTTGAAGAAGTTGGATTCAACTATTTTGGTGTCTTAGGTGAATACTGTTTTTCAATTGGTATTGGTCGCTGCTGCTCTTCTTCAACCCGAGTTCGGAACACAGGAGACCGAGTTGTATGTCACCTTATTAAGGTATGTCAGCCACCCGTTTCCTTGTACCCTTGCTTGTTCTCATTAAATAACATATAAAAAAAACTTACAGTTCTTTTGAATGGCTTGCAGTTGGCTAGTGGCTTCAACAACAGTGGCTTCCACAGGAGCATACGCAGCTCAGTTCTTGAAGAAGAGTTATGGACTGATTGCTCGGAAAGTATAGATTTAGACCTTGCAGATGTAAGCAAGCTTTTCCGATGCAAAGAAGGTGAAGAAGCATACAGTACAGCTCCAACAGACTTGACAAATTATTCTACAGAGCTTTCACTCATAAATGAAAAGAAGTTTCATGCTCAATTTGAGAAACTCTAGTTGTATATAATTCCCGGGAACAGTAACCTAACATATGTCTCATGTTGTATAAACACTGTCCATTATGTTATTGGCGGTGGTCTTCTCTATTTCACCTGTGCACGTAGGTAGAAAGAAGGGAGTGGTAAGATTTTACTTTGTTCTAGCAACCTTGTACAGAGATTCTTCCAGCTAAACTCTGCTTATTTGAGGAAGGTTTAACATTTGTTTCTTTCGTTTCTAAAGAAGAGAGTAATCACATCACAACTAAACTGCTTCTTCAATATGCTTCTGTAAGAATCAGATATATCACTACCGAATATTAGACAGTATTTGGGAAGGTTGTTGAATTTTCCTTCGTTAGGTGTAACCATTATGATTAACGAAATAAAAATTGAGATTCTGATTCACTTTTGCATCAAGGCAATACCCAAAAAGAAAAAAAGGAAGAAATGAAGGCAAATTTCGTGTGTGCTTATATTACAGATGAACATTACATTTCTGGTCATCAGAGGTTGCTGCTTCGTAGGGTGGATGAATGGCCAAAAGATGAAATCTCCAGTTGTTCACTAGAATTCAAATGTCTAATAACTAATCTTGATGAATATCCTCCGGAGCAGGGGCTGCAAATCTCAAATCCTCGGTGCGTGCCACTACGACTGCTTCATCAGCAAACAATCCCCTGATAAAGGATGGGGTTTTAAGTGGTCGACGGCCGGTCATTCGTGGATATACATCTTCAAGAAAATAATAGGCGTGGCCGGCAACCATACCCTGAACGACACCAGAATAATTCGTATCACCATAACTGAAAGGGAAAATAATAATTTCAAGCAACTCGTGCTAAAATGATAGCCCTTTACTATTATTCTATGCCTCAAATCCCCAACAATTTCATCATTTAGATAATCAAAGAGTGATAAATAATTAATCACAAATCAATTTCCAAAGTTGCGGCCATACTGATGTACGAAAATCTTCAGATATAGAATAGCCGCTTATTAGAATTCGGCAGGACCAATATGCCAAAGGTGCATTGAGGTCCACTGAATTATGAAAACTAGAGAAGGGTCAGATGAAGCATAACCAACGGAACTATGAATTATATTTCAACTACAGATGGCATACCAGTAAATCCACCCAAGCACTGGCCCCAACAAGGACGGAGAATCCTAAGAGAACCTGCATGAAAAAGGAATAAAACCAGAGTCAAAATATTTTTATCGTGAAGTTTAAGATGCTTTTATTGGTGAATAGAGAACTCAACTGAAAAAAGAATTAACATCAGATCAAGTCTCCGTAAATAATTTACAACACAAGGATGATTGAAAGAGAATAATATGGAAAGAAACCCAAGCTTACTCACCCATGGCAGGTAAGCTGCAGTGAAAGTAAAGAGGCCCAAAAAGCTCATATGGATGAAAGGGTTTTGTTTGCTCCACACATAAACCTGTATGTACGAAGATATATTAAACTATAGATAGGTAGGTTACATGAAATTAAAGAAAAGAGAGCTCTCATCTCAGATGGAAACTAACCATCATGAACGTCAGCGAGTTGCTAAGGAATATAACTTTGGCAATTGACTCAGACAAGTATGGTATCATCCCCCCAACCAAAACAATTCCAGTCAGCACGGTGGCCCCAAATAAGAGCATATAAAAGAAATCGGCTGTTCTTCCCCTAAAAGAGTTCTCTTCCAGAAGTTTGCAGTATCGGGCAAGAAAAAACATATGAAACAAGAAATCCAAATCTGGCATAACAGACACATCACAAGTTAAGAGTGGAACATAGATAGATCTCAACAAACAATAATAAATATAGACTGAAAAGGCTGAAAGAGTCAAAGAAAGTTAAGAACATGCCACATCTTCCAGTTCTTTAGTAATGGTAAAAGATGGTCAGTTTTATTCTTTTGGGGGAAGGGGAGGGATGCCTAAATCATAATATGGCAGGAACAAGGAAAAGGCTGCTAAGTGCTCACTTGTCAGAACAAGTGCACATAAATCTAATATTCTTAGTACATCAAAAACTAGTGAGGAAACTCCCTTGTTTATAATAATTCCAAAGGGAATCAAAAGGACACTTGCAATAGACTCATAAAATGCATGTCACACCGCTTTAGCTTGTTAATGGAATCTCATATGCATATAGAACTTAGTAAAAGATGAAAACCTCAATATCAAAAAACAGGAAAAATAATGCCACTCTCCTGCACTGCAAGTATGGAAGCATGAGTTCTTATTTCAAAACTTGATGGACCAATAACCATAATCAGAAGTAACCAACAGATGAAAAACATTAAGAAATGTGTATACATAACCAAGCAATGAAATTTTCTACAACTACAAATTTAATGTACATGAAAAAGCAGTATACTTAATGATTGTCTTTCGTAATGAATGACTATAGCACCACTATAAAATCTAACCTTCCAAATACATATTTAAATGTTGCCACAAACAGTAAACATCTTGTTTAAAGATGCAAACCAAGGTATCAATTAGCAACAGGTGGCACATGAACTATAATTTTTCTGAAAACAACACATAGATCAAATTTCATCTTTGCATCAGAGCTTTCATGAACAATCAAATGAAAGCTTATGGCAAATAAAACATAAGCTTCAACAGATGAATAAGTTTCTTCATGTCACAGAAGACTGTCAACAAAGTCAGACAGAATTGATGTTGAGTAATAGCATCTTAATCGGCAACCTTAGCATTCTGGAATGAACAATGAATTACAATCATTTACCGAAATATCCAAACCAACAAATAATACTGAACTTGTAATTACACAGCAGCTTTATTCAAAATTATCGTAGTTATGAATGAATAAGAAATATCTTGGAGGATAAATGTTGTAGGTAGCAGTATCCACAATAGAATTATATCTTACCATACAAGATTCGTCATTTTATTCGTATTAGTGATGAGCATGGAAATAATAGCGTGAGTTTCTAGGGAATGAACTACATCCTATGATTCAACATTTTCTGCGTCCTCTAGCTTTAATTATTTCACATACCTATAAGTATCACTTTAGTCGCAATAGATAAAAGGCATGACAAGGATGATCATTAATTACCCATTTTACGGAAGTACAGGAAGTTGGTAATGAGACGCCAAAACTGATACTTTTTGGCCACAAGGATAGGGTTTAAGTAAAGATGATGCGGAGAGATAATCTGTTGAATATCAAATCCATGAGAAATAATTAAATAAACAAAATGGCAAACTATTCGATATATCATCCGTTAAAACTCAAAAAATAAAAAACAAAATGGCGTTGAAAGAAGGCCAATGAGATTATAAGGATAATCCAGACTTCCTATGACCATGATATTTTTTAAATAGAAATCATCCCGAAGCAACAGAACCGTGCGCCCCCATTTTATACCACCAAATACCTGGAAATACTCGCATCAAAACTCAAATAAATTTATACAACAATCCCCAGTGGTAATTGAATCAATGATAATCGCTAACCACCATAGGAAACTAACATCAAGACACAAAAGAACCAAAATAAGCATCCAAATCCCCCAAGTCAAATTCAACGATATCAGGATTTATCGAGGATGGCAAAACAAAAAATTAATGAATCCATAACAAATCAAAATCAAAACTGAGCAGAAACAAACAAGGCATTCTTGAAATATTTAGTTCCAAATCATAATGTAAACGGTAGTCCCTTGAAAAAACAAACAGGTAAACCTAGATGACCTCTAGAACAAGAAAACAAAGGCAAAAAAATGTAGAAGGAGCGATAAGATGCATACCTCAAGCGAGCAACCGATTGTGGTAACAATAGCCGCTGTGAGATAGGAGCGGGTGATAACAGGCATTTGCTTGTACCATTCCTCAACTGCTTGAGCCATCGAATCTCAGAAAAATGATTTCCGACAAAGAAAAACGTCAGGTGAAGATCGAAGACGCAGAAGCGCTAATATTTGCGAGCCGGAAAGATAGAACAGGGGCTTCGAACGAAGAACGAATAGATTCTCCGGCACAATTCAACAAAGAAAGAGATCCGCAGAGTCGAAAAGGAAGAAGAGTCTGGAGGAGAAAGACGGCGACAGAAAACAAACCCAGCTATATCCCGTTCTGCTCTTTTACGGGGGGGATGACGATTTGGCGCGAATAACAGCGCGAGTGTACTCCACGAACCAATCATCCGCTTGGTAAATCCAGTAGTTTTGATGTATGTTATTACAATTTACTAAATTACTTACAAATAGAATGGAATGACTCAATTTTGGGCTCGGCCCACTAATATAAGCCCATTGGGTATTCCGTGAATTTACTCTCGTGTCCTTGTGTCCATTCCAACGCGAAACAAATACAATACAACTTATCCACATCGTATCAGAACAACCGACCAATCGTCTCAAGGTTCGACATGTCGATCTGTTCAATGAAATTGCTTATGAGGCATGCCTGGCTTAAGATGTAAAAAGGTTCGTAATTAAGTACCTCGAAATGATTTTCTATTTTGTGAAATAAGATATTTAAAATATTCTGAGAAATAGTTTGTATTCTTGTTTTAAAATTCGAATAAATTATAATGAAACGAGTAAATTCTATGACTAATTGTGATAATATAAATTCATCGGAAAAAGGAAAAATGGGGTTGAATTTATTTAGGTAATTCTGCTGAAATGTCTTCAATATAGACGTATTTGACTGGAATCAATCGAGCCCTCTATGTATGGGCCCCAAAGCCCAATATTTTGGCCCAATTCACAATGTGCGGGTTGACCATTTTGCAGTTTGATGCTGAGCCACTTTCATAGCGTCTTCTCAACCAAGCGAGCGGTATTTCGCGGTTTCTCCCCGTCCCAATCTCGCCCCAAAAGACCAAATTCAAAGCTCTCCAGCGTTTGAGCAGATGGAGGAATGCCCCCACAAAATATTAGTTCGGTTCCAAATTCTTCATCAAGTAAGATTTCGGGTCTCATTACTAGCTCCACCCAGACATTTCAGGAATTCATTTATATCCGCGAATGCAACAACATGAATTGCACTTTTCTTTCTTTCTTTTCCTTTTTTGATTAGACGAAACAAAACCGGTGATTTGGATGATTTGCTTTTGCTTTAGGATGACCTCTTTTCTTTTCCCAATAAGAGATTCCGGGATCTTCTTATGATAGATTTCTGCAATTGGGGAAGCCTAAATGAGAGAAATCGTTTAAGTATAAGATGAGTATTAGTGGTGTTTCCGCCAATGCAACCACGCATAGGAAGACAATAGAAGAGGAAAGAGTGATTTTCTTTTCTAATATCACACAGAAAACAGGAACGTAAGGAAATTTAGTCGGGATGAGTCTTCCCTGGTCTAGACTACTTTTATACGATTGTGAATTTGGCAGTATTCAGTGATATGATCAATGCTTTGGAATCTGAGTAATTGGAAACTACTTCAATGATACTGTCATCATACTCGATGAATGCCTGAGGTATAGAATGTTAAAGAGTGTTAGAATCCATATAAATGAATTAAATTTATCCAACCCATCAGCTTAAGCTTTTGGGTTAAAGTGGTGGTTTGTTCATTCTTAGTTAAAGTGGTGGTTTGTTCATTCTTAAGATGGTATCAGAGTGGGAGGTCCTGTGTTCGAACCCCTGCGTTGTCATTTCCTCCCCATTTATTATAATTTCCACTTGTTGGGTCTTGATGTTGTTTACCCAACCCATCATCTTAAGCTTTTGGGTTAAGTGGTGGTTTGTTCATTCTTAAGAAAGAGGAAAAGAACATGTTAAACTTGTTGAGGCTAAAGCAGCGAGCTGTTTGCATTTATCTTTTAGCATCAAGGAAGTTAAATGGTAATCTTAATCCGTTTTTGTTTCTCAATTTCAATATCATTTAATCTCATCATTTCCAAACCTCTTACCATTTAAACTCATTTGAAGGAGCATCTTGTTGTACAACATTGTATTAGAAACGCCGAACGGATCACTTCACAAATATTTGCGAGCGCGGCACAAAATTGTTTATCAAATCAAATTCTATCTATAAGTTAGATTTGATGGTCTTGGAGTGTCATTCTTCCTATTAATATGCTGGTTAGACATCTTTCATTGGCAACTTAGCAAGTAGCTGATGATTTAAGTACCTCCATAAGTTACGAGGATAAGTTTTCCTCTTTGAGCAGAGGAAGATGAACTAGGAGAAAGCCATGAATGACGACCGTGATCTCTAAATTCTGTCTCCACTTCCATGAAATTCCAGATGGGTTTGGTCCTAACTGCTAAGGTAAAGCAACTCATGAGCTTGAAGATTTTAACTGTAATTGTTTTGGTCTAGAAAGTAGCTTGTTCAGAGTACTTACATATTTGTAATAACTTAGATGACATGAAACATATCAAAAAGATTGCGAGGAAACGAACATAATTTTAAAAAATAAAATACTAAAAACAAAATTGTTATCATCAATGACAAAAGAAAAAAAAAAAAAATACTATCATCGTACTGGTCTGCCAACAACATTTCATTTCCATTGTTGGTTCTTTGGATTGCTCCAGTTATCTCTCAGACAGGCTTCTTGCCGGTGGAAGCTTTTCTGGTCTAGTGCATAGGATTCTTCTTGTAACAAGAAGAAAAAAAAAGATGCTCTTAGCCTGTTGACTCATAAGTCATGGCTATGAATGGACAGTCTAAATCCAGCGACATGTAGTCTCATCCATCCATTTGACTTTCATTTCCTTTATTATATTTTTATCGTATCGTCTTATTTCTTATTCAAAGATACTTTTTATGTCGGTGGAATTTTGGTCTGTTTTTTATTGCAATTGGATGGTTCCATATGCTGCAAATTTTGACTTTAGGGTGCCATCTGACTGTCGATTTGGGGATTTTTGAAAGAATTATTTGATTGCCTGTTCTAAATTAGTATAGTTTTAAGTTCATAATTTTACTCTTTGGTTTTCGATCACATAAGATATCAAATGTTTCCAAAACCATTTTCATTTTACAAAGTTGCCCATGTCACAAAATCAATTCTTTGAAGGAAAACCCCACCAAATAAAATTTTAACTGAAACTTATAATTATAAGTTTCCAAGTCTTTATTTTTTGTTTTTCTTGCTTCATATTTAATAGAATGATAGACCTGATCTAAGGCCAGCTCAGGGCCTGCCTAGTCTCTTCCATAATTTAAAGCACATGCTGTGCTAGCTTGCTTCTTCATGGCCTTATAGATGACCTTCTTCATCGACCCCACCCGACACCCAAAGTTCACACTTTCCCATTTCCTCATGACTTCACTGATAAATGCCATATCTTCACTGAAACTCACCACTGCCCAGGCACACCTTCAGCTTAGTCCCTTTCTCTCTACTTTCCTAAGTTCAGAGGAGAGAGATGAGTTTTCTTCTCATTAGGAGGCCAAATGGCTACTCCAAGGTTGATAAAGAAGACCCAGAAGAGATAATTCATCGAAGAGCACAGTTTCTAATCAACAAAGTGTTGGAACGAGCAGAGTCCATGGGGAAACCTTCGTATCTGAGAATCAGAATTCGAAGGCTGAAAGTTAGATTTGGGAGAAGATTGAAGAAGCTGAAGAAGAGTGCACTGGCAAGTATTTCCGCTGCCAAGATTGGTGTTTACAAGCAAGTCATTGGTCAGCTCAGAAATTGTAAGTCTTTGTTTGGCCGAAAAGAAGCGACCATTGCCAATCTTTCTCCTTTTTTATCATCCTGAACTGAACTCTCCAGAATTTCTCCCGTCAAATCATCTTTTTTCTGTAATTTTTCAAGAGATCGAGTGTTCGAAACATTGGCAAAAACTAGTTTTTTCCCAGTGCTAGCTTTAATTTTGTCAATGTAAGCCTTGTTATATGCAAGAAAGGTTCTTGAGGATGTGCTTGGCTGGTGTTGTTTGTAGAGGTTTCCGTTTGATTTTGGAGTTCTCCCTCATAAACAACCATAGAAGATTAAGAAAGCATGGATATTGACAAACCAAGTAAATCTAATAAAGAACTATAATAAAAAGATACTCGTCTCTTTCTATGCAAGTAAGAGTTTCCCAAATTATTTATGGTGAAAAAGGAAAAGCACATTTTTTTAATACATATTTCCTTTCAGTTCCAAATCTTCCATCCTTGTCTGTCAAGTGTCTGAGTCCACATGCATTTCAAAAAATTATAGTTTTATTATTATTATTATATTTTTTTTTTGGCTTCCGTGAAACATTATCATTGGATTAGAGTATTAGTGAGATCTTTATTTGAAGGGTTCTGATAAAGTAGAGAATTGAACCATCTACCTCCAAGTTGGTAATAAGTGTTTTATCCACGTTAGATTGGTAAATATTAGTGAGATCTATATAGGTCAAAATGTTGGTACAATTTTTTAGTTGACTTATTTGACTAATATTGTCTTCATTTTTAGATTTTAATAAGTGGGAATACTGTTTTTTTTTTATTAGAATATCACATCTTAAACACAAGAGCAAGAATCTCAACTCACGTCCTCATAGAGACAATAAATATATCTTAATCATTGAATTATGCTTATTTTGGCACTATTAAGAGCATGTTTTGAGATGCTAGTTAAAATCACCTTTGTAAATTCAAGTGATTTTTAGTCATCCCAAAAGTACTTCTAGACATCTTGATAGATATTTTTAATGAATGAGTAGCTTTAGAAAATGGAAAAAGTGATTTTAGCATAAAAATTGCTCTCAAACATGTCTTAAATCTATTATTAACATACAGATAGAGATTGTGTGGTGTGAAATCTATGTTTTTTTTTTTTTTGAGTTAAAAGAAAGGCATTTGAGAAATTTTTTTTTAACTTCGTGAATTCATAAAATATAATTGTTTTGAAAAAAATTTAAATTAATAATTTCTAAAAGTTTTTATTTGATGAAATTAATCTCTCAATAACATAAAAATGTCTTACTCTAAAAGGTAAAAATTGTACGTGATTTTGTAAAATATCCTGATGTACTGTTTTAATAATGTTTAAGATTAATTTATTAATTGTTAATTCAATCATTGTTTAATGCTTAAAAAAAATTCAATCATAATTTAACGAATAAGACATTAGTTATCATCTTAATAATGTATTACACTTAAAGCTAAAAAGTCTGTCAAACTAAGGTAATTGAAAACAAATAAATCTATACACACACCAATCACTATGCCAAAGTCGATTAATGGGTGATCATTTTTTTACTATGCCAAAGTCGATTAATGGTTGATAATTTTTTTAAAGTTATATTTATAGTTATTTTATATAAAAATGATTATGTATTTGTAATTAATCTGGACGAATTTGAACCCATAGTCTTGTTTTTTTTAGCACAACATGTGCTATGGATATTTAAACTCAAGACATTTTGTTGGAAGATAGATGTATTAATCAATTTTTCTTAAAATATTTTAAAATAAGCACATTTTTAATTAAAAATATAGCGGTTTTCTTAAATCTCTTTTACAATGATTTAACAAAATAATGCATAACATAATTTCATAAATGGAAACAAAAAGAGAGAGAGAGTTTTATATTTCATTTTTTGGTCTTTTAAGTTTTTAGGTGGACTTTATTTCGGTCCCAAAATTTAAAAAAAAAAAAAAGACAAAAACAAATTAACTATTTTAATTCTAGTCATTTTTTCCTTTTCGTTAATCTTTTAACAAAAGGATAATTTGACTTCAAATATGTAAATTAACATATTTGCATGAACATGTATTGAAGATATGTTGCTTGAGGTAATTAATGAGTAAACATATATTAGTAAGAAATTAATTGCAATGACCAACATGACCAACATGTTTGTTTTAAAAAGGTTGGAGACTAAAATGATTATTTTAAACGTTTAAGCATCAAAATATAAAAGTTTTTTAATATTCAAAAGTTTACCGACTAAAATAAAATAAACTTAAAAGTTATAGTCTTAGTACCAAAGTGAGATTCAAAGCAACACATTGAAAGAAAAGTGGTATTCACCTGTCAAACCAAGTAAAAGAAATGTTAAAACATTATTTTTATCTATATATTTCAGCTTTAGTTCACATTGGATTCTATTTTTTAAATATTTATTTTGATCAATTTTAGTTCATTTTAATCTCTATGTTTTGATCCTTGTATTTTTAAAAGGTGATATTTTGATTTCTTTTGCAAACTATCATTTAGTATAAAATTATGACTACATTTTAATAAATATATCGAATAAAGTGTTATTGTCAGTCTTGAATTGTAATTGAAAAATGAGATAAAAAATAACATAAAAGAACCGGAAAGATTACATTTTAAAATTACAACGATCAAAATAAATATTTAAAATATACCTGACTAAAATAGGTAAAAAGTTGAAAATACAGAAATTAAAATAAATATATTAAAAAAATAAACTAAAATTAAAAATTCATGGCAATTGTAAAGCAGGTGAGTGTCATGTGACCAACTTATTATTATTTTAAGTTTTTAACCCACTTGTTCCCACATCCGCCATAATCCATATGACGTTTTCCTTCTAAAAGTAGTAAGTAAAATACCGGTCACAATGATATACCTAATTAACAACTTTAATGCTTTTGCTTTCTCAAAAAATAATAATTATAATGAAAATAAAAATAAAAAATTCAATGCTTTTGGATTAATTTAGATTAGGAATACCAAATCAAAGATTCACCTTTTCTTTTTTTAATATAATAAATTAGAAGAATGAGATTTAAATCTTCAGACCTCAAATAAAGGAGTATGTACCCATTACCGATAAGCTAGGTTCATGTTGGTAAGATTGTTCTTTTAGTAGAGAGAATGCGTGAAATAATATAATTTAATTATGATTTATAATCATTCAATAATTAACCAAACATACCATACATGCATTCTTACATCTTCAAAAAAAAAAAAAATCATTTTAACCTCTATCTTTTTTTTTAAATACCTTTCAATTCAATTTTTTATATTAATTATTAAAAAATGCAATTAAAATTTGATACCGCTATGCGCAGAGGTATCTAATATCCTACCATGTCATACGGTTGCAATTATATAAAAAGCTTCAACATCCTGTAATGTTATGTTTGTTTTTAGTTATAATTTAATATTGAGATCCAACACTAATTATTAAAGTAAAAAGGTAAAGAAAATGATATTTTAAATAAATATATTTTTTTTTGTCAAAAATATATATCTTAATTAGTTAAAGATATATATTCAAGTCGACAAAAAAACTACAATATTTTAAATTGTAGGATTATATTTTATTTGGGATGTTTGATAGAACTTAGAATTAGTTAAACTTTCTTTAGTTTATCTTTGAATTGCGTAAATAGATGAGATTTAGAGGCCAAAGCTAATATAGTTCAAAATTAACATATATCAATCAAAAGATTATAAGTTCGATCTCACACTCCCATTTGTTGTGCTAAAAAAAGATTAGAGAAAAAAAAAACTTAAATTTATGTATTTTGTGTTTGATTTTTATAGTATTAATTTTACATGATTGTTCTCAAAAAAAAAAAAAAATATTGGTTAATTAACAAATTAAATCCATAATGTCTATGATCAACAAAAATTTATATATCTAAATATAATGTCCACTCCTCGCACCTCCAAATTGTACTTACATAATGCATAAAATCATCAAACTCAATTTTAAAAAAAAAATGGAAAAGAAAAGGGACGATCGGAACTAAATTAACTTCATCCAGTGAAAGACGAATGGAAAGTGAATTAAAATGAAAATCATGTACGGACATACTGAGTTAATTAATCTCTGGAATGCTGTGCAGAGAAGGCCTCCAGGAACACGAACGTTGCTGACGTAGACGCGCCACCTGGGCAGTACCGTCATCACGTCCATCGCCACGCGGATCGGTAATCACGCTGACGAGGCGAGCCATAACCTGTTCAAAACTAGAATCCGCCATGTTCAACCATCCCACCAACTCCTCCAGCTCCTTCTTCGTCATCCTTATCTTCACCTCCGATCTCAAGCCACCCCCGGCCCCTTTCTCGTCGGAATGCTTCTCCGGCGGCGGATCCCTCCGCTCCTCGCCGGCCGCCACCACAGTTGACGCTCCGCCTCTGCAGCAGTTACCCATGGTTTTTGTCGTGATTTAATTTGTATTTTTTTTTCCTTCGCAGATATTTGGAAAGAGAGAGAAAAAGGAGAAATTTTCAGGGGTGGAAAGACAGAAACAAGATCCCAATGTTGTAAATAAAATTACAGTTAGATTTGTACACGTGGCGATTGATGAGGCCGGTAGTTGACCAAACTCGGATACGGGACTTTTGTAGTTGTGGGGCCTGCATATACATGATGATCTCAACGGCCACAATTAATTTGCATTTATATAATTGACCATCTAACCAACCTAAATAATTTACTTCCCCCACCCAATATAATTGGTTGTTGTTAGATTTACATTACCCTGAAAGCTATTATAAAAAAAAATTAATAGTTGGAAATTCCCAAATATATAACATAATTTTATCTCAAAATTTTTTTGAGGAAGTACTGAATCATTTAGTCAAGTAAAATAATGGTTGAATTTTATTTAATAATACTTTTGATAATATCTATTTTATTTGGTTTTAATTTAAAAAAAGAAATGTAAAATTAACCCTAAAGTACTACAAGAATTTAAAGCTTTCCCAAAGATTTTGTGCTGATACTTGAAAAGTTGTCGAAATAAACTCTTTTACAAAAATTTAAAGCTTTCTTGAAGATTTTGTGCGACACTT